GCAAAAAAAATGTTTTAAGAGACAACCGTTCCAGATAAACCAATACATATAGAAAATAACCAAGATAGTGCACCTAAACATTTCCATACCTTATATTTTTAGAACATTCTAAAAAAAATATAGTCATGCAAATCCAATTTTAATTCAAGAACGGATTAAGCATCGGTAGACTTGTTAAACGTTTTTAAACTGCCCCTTTGAAAAATGCGAAACACTAATGTATTTCATGAATGTGGACCCCGTCAAATATGGCATACGCTCTTTGCCCTATAAATACTGAGCTCAAATGCTTCACAATTCACAAACAACACAAACATATTAAGAAAATCTTGTAAAAGCAATAGAAAACCTTTCGTTTGAAAATGAGGGTTTCCAAGTTTCTTTTCCTGACTACCATACTGGCTTTGGTCATTTCCTTTGCCAATGCTTATGATCCAAGTCCACTCCAAGACTTCTGTGTGGCCATTGGTGACCTCAAAAATGGTGGTGCGTAAGACTTGGTTTCTTTAATCTTCTACTAGTTAATTTTCTCCTTTAGGTATGATTATGATCAATGTTATAATATATACTCTTTGAAACAATGTCTACTTGTAGTTTTCGTGAATGGTAAATTCTGCAAAGATCCGAAGCAAGCCAAAGCAGAAGATTTTTTCTTCTCAGGCCTCGATCAGGCCGGAAACACTGATAATGCTGTCAAATCCAACGTGACAACGGTCAATGTCGATCAGATTCCAGGGTAAACACTATGGGAATATCCTTGGTCCGCATAGACTACGCACCATATGGCCAAAACCCGCCTCATACGCACCCTCGTGCCACTGAGATCCTTGTCCTTTTGGAGGGAACATTATACGTCGGTTTTGTTTCTTCCAATCAAGATAACAATCGTCTATTCGCCAAAGTATTGAAGCCCGGCGATGTTTTCGTGTTTCCCATAGGAATGATACATTTTCAGGTGAATATTGGCAAAACCCCAGCGGTAGCCTTTGCTGGATTAAGTAGCCAGAACGCTGGTGTTATCACGATCGCAGACACTGTGTTTGGGTCAACCCCTCCAATTAATCCAGAGTTTTTGGCTATGGCGTTCCAGTTGGATGTCAATGTTGTCAAAGACCTTGAAGCTAAGTTTGGATCCAAGAACTAAATCTAAGTCGTTACAAGGGTGTATCCTTGTAAAACTAAGTTATGATGTAATACGATTTAAAGCATATGCTTCATAAAATAAAAAGGTGTTGTTCACCTAATTTGATATTAATATTAAGTTTACTTTTCCTACATTGATTTAGTCTTAAGAAAAAAAAAACTAATGTCAAGAGTAATCAAATTATCGAGAAAACTTAACAAGTTGTTAGAGTTGTTAGAAGGATAAAAAAACTCACGATCAAGAAGGTTAGCAAATTCAAGCAATGAAAAAAAAAAAAAATCTACATAGAAACACCAACAATTTTCTACTAAAATATAATAGACATCGAACATCAGAAAAAAAAAATGCATATCAAAATACGTCATCCACTAAAGAAAAAATTAACATATTACAGAAATTGTCATGATATCTTTTCAAATTTTTTTTTGAATAAGAAACTTCAATGTTAGAGAAGCAAAAAAAACCGAAAAATGAATGATATTACTATATATATATAGAAGATAGTTTCGTATTTTTAATTATAATTTTTTTTTTAGAATATGCTTAGATATGATTCACTTTGAATTGCTGGTTTAGCTTGAGAAAGAAAACCAGGTTCAGGTGAACTCTTGTATCAGAAGCTTGATATTATAATATTAGTAATTAGTTTCCTATTTTTGAATAGAATTCGAGCTGCAGTAGTTAGGATTG